AAAAATATTTTCAAAAACATTAGTAATCTTTGAAATAATCAGTATTCAATTATAAAAGAATCACCCGGTATATGTATCATATTATATTGTCCAAAAAATATTTAAATTGTATTTATATAACATATTACTTAAATTATGACTGGTCACAAAATTTATGTATTATTTGTTATGATAATATAAACCTACTTTATTTTAGTTTTTACAGAGCCAATTAATTTGGTAGCAACTTCAAYAAATCGTACTAAACCAATAAACAGTAAGAATACTATACTAGAAGAATTCATAATGAATATTCACAATATGTCACCATTCAGATTAATTTTATTTATATCCTCAATTTTCTTTGGTTTTGCTGTCATTTTTGGTGTTTTATTTATAGAACCATGTGAATGGTCGAATTGTATTTCTTCAAAAAATATGAAGTTAATTTGGTCTGATTCTATTTTCTTTGATATAGGTATTTTTGTATATCATATATATCTCTTGTTTAATTATATTTCATGTAGCTAATTCATTATTATTATTTGAATATCAACAGAGTTAAAAGGCAAGCCGAGTATGATTGAGTTAAACCAGAAACTTAAAAAATTGTTGTTTATAGTTAGAGGATCAATTCTTAACAGTCCAAATGTACCACCTCGAACAGAACGTTTACCATCTATTGGTGGTGGTCTTTTGCAAATTGATACAATTACTGGTAAAGAAATGTGGCGTAAACGATTAGATTCACTACCTGATACTATTGATTGTACATTACTAAATAATCAGTCCAAAGAAAATGAAGATGTATATTGTATAGTAGGAGCTTCAAATAAAAATATATTAGCTGTTATATCCAGCAATAAACATAAAGGTACTTCTTAATTTGGAATATTAATATTCAAATGTTTTATGAATTTTACAACATACACATTTCTTGTTATTTTATTGTAAATGTAGGAATTGAAACCTATGTGATTTCTGTTTGTGTATATGTTATTTTTTAATTATTGTTATTTGTAAAGTAATTTTGTTAATTTAAATGATGTTTAAAAAATATATTTATATTACTTTGTTCTATAGGTGAACTTGTATGGAAGAAAATTCGATCAGAGTTAAACACTACTAAATTAAATAACAAAAACGATTTAGTGTACATGGAGTTTCCTATCATTATACCCGATTGCAATTCTGATGGTGTTAATGAAATGGCCTTTGTGCACCATGAAAATAATATACCTACATTAGATATATTATCTGGCAAAAGTGGAAACAAATTAATGAGGAGTATTAGTAATGATAATTGTACTAAGATGACTGATCTAATTTTAAAATATGATATGTCTTTAGTTTATTTTTGTCGTAAAAATAATGTTGTAGGTATGTAGATTTAAACACTAAAGTATATCTTCAAAACATATTATTTTTATTAAAATTGATTTATTATAATTTATACATATTTAGACACTCTAGAAACAATTCCTATTAAAACTATGTTAAATTGTTCTGGTGATTGGATACCAGATTCTGTTCACCAAACCAAACAAGAACACGATCAAATTGAAGAAAATCAATATTTTTTAATGCTTGGGCCTTATTATCTTAAAATCAATAATAGCCATTACAATTGTTCTACTGATTGTATGACAGTTTTGTATGTGATTAATAGGACTAAAAAAATTATTTGGTCTAAACAATTTGATCGATCTTATGTAATGAAGCCAGTAACTTTTGAATTCCGCGACAATATATCTGGATTTGTTATCAAAATTTGGTCTTGGGATACTCAAACAATTGAGGTAAGTTTTTACTTCTATTTATAATATTAATTATAACAAATTATCATTTTTAATTGCTATACTCCAGCCACCGAGACCGTGCTACTCCTTGGCGCATCCAAATGAACGACCTCCGCGTTATCGTACACATTTTTCTCCCACTCTAATACCTATTCGACGCTCAAAATATCCCCACTTGCAACGCGGTGGTGGCCAGAAAAATGTAAGGTTTGGTAGTGGAAATGTGTGAGAACGGACGAGATTTGGGTGACGCCCAATAGTGATTTCTCAGTGGCCGGAATTTTTTACAGAATCTCAGAAAACAAGCTAAAACAAAAAAATAATGTAGTTAATATTGTGAGATGTTTTTAGTGAATAGAATATCAAATATTAAATGTTTTAGAATATTGAAAACAGCACATATTAATTTCATAATTTAGATCTAATAATCTTAGATTTTACTTTGTGTGGGATTTGTTTTATGAAATTGTAATTAAATTTAAGAAGTCCAATTTCGATTGACAATATTGGGTAATCATTTCAACATTTCTTTTTTTAATAAAAATTTATAAGATATGACTACTTAATACTTYCCAAACCTTCAAAATAAGCAGAGCGAAATACTTTTATAAAATTTAATTCAGATTATTCTAAGAAGTCGATGTAATGTTAGGTTTTTAATCGGTTCAAAATAGTTTTTTTTGTTTGTCGATTTCTTCAACAATGGGTCCTTTKTTTTGGCTTATTTTAAGTTTGGTGTTCAAACTCTTAATGAGTAAGATTGAGGCATTTTTTAATGTTAATTAAGATTCAGATTAAGTGATAGTTAAAACAAAGTAATCGTTTATATAAGCTATATTTCTATTTTAAAATAAAACTATACATTCTTATTAATTTTGCAGAAATATATATTATATATAATATGATAGAAACGTCTTTGTCGGATTGTTGAATTTTTACATTGGCTCTTAGTATTTTGAAATAACGAAACTATTACAGTTCACAAACAACACGAAAATGTATCACCACATAATATATATGATGATTGCTTAATCAAAACATACTATTTACAAACTAAATACTTTTGCATTTATTTCAATTGTAGAATATGCGTGTTTTGCGAGTTATATTGCTAGTATGTAACTCAATATTCAAGTTAGGTACAATTTAAACATTTCTGTAACTAGTTTCAAATWAAAATCTACAAAAAGGGCTACGACCTGAATTTATAATTAAAGAATAGAATTAATGAAACAAAATTTTTTTTTATCATGTTTTTTAGAATAAAATTAAGCTCACTAACATCGAAAAAGTTGAGTACATTCTAGAACAAGTTATAGTAATTACATATAATTCATCCAGACCTGAAGATTTCCACATTAAGAACATAAGTTCAAACAAAATTTTACAAGTTTGTGAAAATGTATCAAACTGTCAGCCTAGACTAGAATATCAAAAATATTCATGTAAGTATTGTTCTTGGTTAGCTATTTCGTCTTCACATAAATGTAAAACCCAAGTTTTTAATGTGACAATAACAACCATACATTTTTTAGTACACTCAAAATTATAGTCAAAATACTCATTGAATTTTAGAAAATAAATAAAGATTCTTTAACGAAGGCTACTTGAAATTGTTTATAAGACCCATTATCACAAATCTAATGCAATTAATTTTTGTGTATTAACATATTTTGCTTAGAATTATAAACATCTGTTTGGCTTTGTATTGTTATAAAATTGGCTCACATTTTAAAAACCGTCTGACGAGCTCTTGTCCCCGTCTCTCTTATATATGATTTGGTCCTTAGGAGTGGTGGTGACTTTCCTATTACATGTTAACATTCGGTCTTGTGATTCAACTTAATATGCTGAACGTTTCGTATCCTTTCACACGGGTCTACAGTCATTTCTGAGAAGAGACGTGTGAAAACAGTTTTATAATTTAATCAATTTTATATCACCACGTTCCTATTGTAGAATAGGATGCTTTCTTTTGATATTAATGGCTTATTAGTTTTAGTCATAGTTAATACTTATATCACAATCTCGTACATATTTTATTGGTACGTAACACTAGGCAATTCAGAACAAAATGTTTGGGTTGTAACAAATTCTTTTGTATGCCATGTTTCTTTAATACACATTGTGTTATTAAGAAAAAGTAAGTTATTATTTTTACAAAGTTGTTATATACTTTTTTATACAAAATATAACACATGATTTTCCAAATAACATTTTGCTATTCTTACTGTTCTTATCGTGGCGCCCAGCGCTTCTAGCCTAGAGAGCACCGGAAACCAACCAATGTTATCAAATGCTCGGGTGATATCCAGGAACACCCCCAAAAACGTGCCGGCTGTTGCTACCATTGGTCCAGTCATACAGCGCTCTCATGGCTGTGGTTGTTGACCTCCCGGGCACGAAACTATGTTGTTGCCTGAAGCCATTTAGGTTCGTCTCGGTTTCTAAGTCCTGTATGATTATTGTCGCAAGCGCTTTTGCCAAGGTGGGCAGAAGACTAACCGGCCTGTATGCCTTTGGACTTGTTTCGTCCTTCTTTCCTTGCTTGGGTATGATCACTAGGTTAGCACTTTTCCATGTCAACGGGAATTTGGCGTTTTCAATGCACATTCTAAAGAGGTATATAATATCCTCATATAATACTGACCATGCTTTCCGCAGCATCCCTGCAGTAATACCATCTACTCCTAGAGCTTTCCCTGGGCGTATTCTCCATATCGCCGCCTTTACTCTTTCAAAATCGATTTCACCTTGATACTCGTTTACGGTCTTTGTATAATGTACTCATTTCTAGTCGCATCCCTTGRGAAAAAAGACTCTAGAAATAATTCAGCTGTTTCATCAATCGTTTGTGTATTCGTAACATGTRCACGGACAATGGTGACGGGTATTCTTTTTGTCCGTGTGCCATTTTTCGCACATTTGAAGGCTTTATTCCATGTATTCACATTGATGTCGCCTGTAAAAGACCGCCATGCAGTCATTTTTGCGGATCTGATTTTGCTTAGGTAATTATTACGCGCCTGATTTTATAACGGTCGATTTATTATATGTAAACCTAGTCTTCTTTTCTTATCGAATTCTCTTTTTAGCGTAGGAAGTTCAGCTGTCCACCAAGGTTGCTTTCCTACTCTACGCCTCTCATTGTTTATTTGTGGTATGGACTCCAACGCCGYTTTTTGGATAATCGTGCTACCATAACGATCCACTGTGGACCTGTCTATTTCAATTCTGAGACTGCTTAAACTATGGGTGAACTTTACCCAGTTAGCCTTCTTTACATTGAACCTGTGTTCCATTGACCTTGGTGGTCTTGCAGAACTTATTCTGACATTATAAGTTATAGCACGTTGTGATCGCTGTCGGTGCAGTTTGTCAGACACCAATCATGGACTTTGTTCCCTATCTGAGGCGTTGCCAGAGTAATATCCATCCAAGGTGACCAATGACCGTCTTAGCAATATTACTCGCCTCTAAGGCYTTTTTCTTTGGTTCCGCTGCGTTACCCGGACTTGAGGGTCCACACTTGTTTCTTGACTCTTGGTCAATGTCCATTCCACCACTTTTACTTGCACCTGTGTTTGCTCCGAGTTCAGTGTCTCCACCTCCCCGTGTAAAGGCGATATCAACTTAAACGAAAACAAGTTCAAGTGTTCTGGATGCGTTGGTCAGTGGARTATTTGCCGTAATTGCAGAGAAAAGTTAGGACAAATGTGAATCGCAAATTCTCAGTCGGTGATTTAGAAGTTTTGCGCGATGATGGTATTCCTCCACTAAAATGGATCGTGTAACAGCTATTTAACCTGGAGCTGATGGTTATGTGAGGGCAGTAACCGTGCGAAATGCTGCGAGTTCCGAATTCAGACGTCCAGTAATACAATTGTCTTTGCTGCCGTCCACGAAAGATGAAGATTAGGGACATTTTTCTGCTTGTTTTTGTTGTAAAAATGATAAAGCTATTATTTATTTTTTTTGTGTGTATTACTTTTATTATTGTATAATTCTTATTAGTACTATAATGAGGGCCGAGTTATAAGGTATTTTAATTGTATCATTGTTTGGAAGTTAGTTGATTACAAAGCGGTTCTTATGGTTTTAGATATGTGTTTGGAGTGCTTATTCCGTTGTTAGGTCAATATCCATGTGTATAAAGGTACTAAAGTTACTACGGTAACTCCTTCAAAAGGAAGGAATATGTTGCGTTAGTGAATTTAATTTGAATTCTAGACTTTTTGCTCCAGTGTAGTTCATTTTGATTATGATGTGTTGATGTGATAGTGGATTTGGTTATACGTTATCCCCGTGTCTGACACAGTTATCACTGCAGCGTGATAGCTGCCCGGTAAGTGTATCCAGCCCATATACCTTATACTATGTAATAAACGGAGTAAGGGTGTAGCTCTTGAAGTCTTGCAAGGCTGTGCTGCTCAACAGGACTCGGTGACCTACGMACACGTGCAGCAGAATTCCAAGTTGTGTATGTTTTAAAAATGTATTGTATGATAATAATATATATACTGAGTATAAGGTCTATGATAGTTCCTAGCCCTAATAAATATGTTATAACATTATTATAAAAAAAAAAATAAATAATCATATTTTATGTCGTCAGAAATGACAACACTACTAAAAGGATAGCTGTGATCGCACCACCCAACCCCGCCAACATGTGATGCTCCGTCTATGAGTATAAGGTCTATGATCCAGCCGTTATGTTTTGTGATAAAAAGGGCTGTGAATATTTGTTGATAAACAGTATCTTATTTTTAGTKAGTGTGTGGATCTTAACCACAAAAAACTTCGGTACTTTTCTTCTGGCTGTCGGTCGAGCAATAGATTTTGACAGTTCCCGAAAAAATCATGTTTTTATGTAGTTCTTTTTCATTGTGTGTAGTTATTAATTTCGATTTTTAGCCACACGCTGCATATTTGTCACTGTATTATAGTGTGTCTCTTTTAAAACTTCTGTAAGTATCGTTCAGTCATAAAATCATTAATTCATGTCATTAATATTTTTCCCCACTTCAGGGCGTACAACATACTTGCAGAAATATGCAAGTTTCGTCTGGTGATTTGCGTGTTGTGCCCATTGAATTATTAGTTTTGAGCTGGTGACTTGTTAGTCATACGTTCTTGGGATTGTCACATATTTTAGTTTTACAATATGGTAGTTTTTATTGTGCAAATATGTGAATTCCAAGGCGGTAGCATTCGGTTTGAAGCCGTTAACAGACATCAGCTCTCCAGGTAATCGGCTGATGAGCTGTTTGTTGTTATTATTCATTACTATGTATATGTTCAATTAAATAACACATTGTTATTAATATTAATTGATACATGCTAAACGAGCTTGTTTATTATTATTATTATTCATTGATAGGTAGGTATATGCTCAACTAGAATCGCACATTGTTAATGTTTAAATTTTGGAACGGGAAATGAGGTATATGTTTTCGTTTAATTTCGTACGTTCACTTTTTAAATTTATTATTAATTTTTTTTTACTATTTATTTATTAGCTTATAACATTACAACAAAATTTATAATAAATACTACACTTAACTGTTACTTATAGTTATTATTATAATACTGTTTTATTTAAGAGTATAAATTAAAACATTATTGATTTTGTCGACCGTTGATTGTCGCGGACTTTTGTATACTAYCACTCAAATCGTTTGTATCGAAGGACGATGGCCGTATCATATCATATTATCTTATCGGTGTTCCGAACAGTTAATATTATTAATTGATAGATGCTAAACAAGCATTACACATTTATTATCATTATCTTATAATATTTGGTAGGTTTTGTATATTTATGTTCAAAAAATCTGTCAAACATATTACATATAATCAACAATAGAGGAATTAATTAAAAACACATTTTCTAAGAATTTTTTTTTTTTAATCAACTTTACAGCGTAAGAACATGCTGGCTCCAAGTTTGAGTCATCGTTAAATGCACTACAATGTGGATAGCTTTATTTTAAAATCTAGAAGTTTTTGTCTAAAATATATAAATTTGGAGSATTGAAGTTGCCAAAGTAAATTTTTAACATGTATATCGGTTAAATTACAAAATAAATCTTGGTTATTTCATTTTATCTCTTAAACATTATGTAACTCGAATGATAATTTATAATACACTATGTTTAACCTATAGAGTAATACAAATGTAACACTCATTTTGTATTGTTAAATTTTTGTTCTAAGTTCTATAAATTTATAAACATATCTAATTTTTTTTACTAATAATAGATAACATTTTTTCTTATCATTTGTATGGATTAATATCAATTATTTAGCAAATTGTTTTTTTAAATCATACATAATATAAATTATATTAATAGTCTAATCTATTTTTATTGTTTCCAGTGAATGTGATGGATGTAGACGAAGATGGTTACAGAGAATTAGTTTCTGTATCAGTAACATATGAATTTATCAATACACTTGGCCAGTTCTACATGAACGATAAACACTCACTGCAGCTCTTATCAAAAGTTAATGTTTACCAATTAGAAAGTCAACTTATTAGATATTTTGAAAATTAAATGTTTGTTTGTTTTGATTTATTGTAAGAATATAATTTGTCCACTAAAATATATGTTCCTTAGTTTTCATAACATAAATAAATGAGTTTGAGGTGTAGACGAACATTTTATTTACTGTTTCATCTGGTATGTACTGACGTCCCGCTAAAACACATAAAACCGAATATACACGTAAGTGTACGTAAGTGTCCTCGGGGCRTACGATTTCGCCAACCAGCTATGTTAGTGTAGGACCTCAATATCTGTGTCGAATGCCGAACTCCTAGACTTCTCGGAAATTCGGTATCGTAAAATTATACGAAATATTAAATATGAAACCCGAGATGAAATCGTAGTATCGGATTCGTTAAMTTTAATTCTCCGAAATGCTAAATATGAAATCGTAGTATAGACGGGCACATCTAAAGAGAGGAGTTATGTCATCTGGTTATTGAGATTACGTGTCGCGAATAACCAGGATGTGGACCGACCGGTCGCACGAGCGTGGGAAGCTGCGATATCATAAAATTACACGCGTACGCTTTTGCGCGACTCGGCCATGGACACATACCTACTTATCTTATCGATAGAAGAGGAAACACAGGGAGTAGGACTATCTGGACTATATAGGAGAGCCCCGATTAGACCCAATTCAGACGTGAGTCACCAGAGTCAGAACAAGCACCTTCACGCCAGACACCAGTCCAATTTAATTATTCGGACTTAGAATATTTTGCAACCAAATCAATTTGTGCAGTAAAAAGTGTTTTATTTACATAGTAATCAAATAGATATCTAATAATTAATCACAAATTAAGTTGTTATACTTATTACACTCAATACATCTACCTCAACACCAGTCGTTTGTCCTCCTGTATGCTGGGACGCTACACATCTCCGTCCCGCAAAAAAAAAAGAAAAGAAAAAAAATGGTTTTTGAGATATTTTACTATTGGCATAATATATTATTTTAAGATATTTGGTCCATGGATGCATTTAAGTAGTGATGTCACTACCTACCGAATAGTTTGTACTATAGATTGTCCATCRGTGCCTAGTTTAAAAATACCTAAATAATATTTTGATGTTATCTACCAAATTTACTTGATAATTTTAATTTTTAAGTTTTCATTTACTAGACTTAATAATAGATCATATTATCAGTACAGTTACAACTTTTKCGGATGATCAGCTATCTTGTTGTCTTTAAGGCGAATACATGACCTCTCTAAAAGTTAAAATATTGGAACGTGGACATTTGACATACAAAATTCATATAATTTTTTGGGAGACCTTCAAAACATTGAACAACAAACAATTGAACGTCATTATATTGTACGTTAAAATCTTGAATATAATATTATGTCAATATCTTGAACATTCAGAACCTTGAATGTCAAAATTTTGAACACAAAAATTGTTTCCGTCAAAATTTTGAAGATAAAAATCGTTATGAGCGAGGGGAACTCTTYACTCGTGACCCACATGCTGCACCACGTGTTTGCCCTWAGGYAAGTCGGTCAATTTGTGGACTTTGATACACTCATAGGTCAATGAAGACCTAAGATTTAAAATAAAACATAATATTACTAATATTTTTTTAAATCGTAATATTCGGCACAAAAATACTAATCCATGAAATACCGATGATAAATAAGTTGATAATTAGTATTCTGGAATAAAATACAAATAACAGATATTTTCAAAGTATTTAAAATACAAATGTCAAAAAGTAATTGAAAGCATTTGAAATATCAAAAAACGATGGTGCAATCAGAAGTATTCATTCAGATTTCGTTTCAAGTTATTGTCTTTTAAAGTTCGTCAATTATAATAATACAATGTCACTGTCGTTGGAACAAATGCAATTCATGGCCAGGTAGTCTTTCTTTTTCGAAATTAATTTTGATACTGATCATGAATAATCGGAAATAGGAATATGCAAACACTAATATGTAAAAATAAATATACTTAACTATATATATATATGATTTTTCCATCAAATTCCAGTGTAGGTAATAAAAAAACGTACTTTTAAAATAAAACAAAATGTATTAAAGGCATGGTCAACTATAGAGCTTTGTGGAAAAATATCCAACTTCAAACTGTTATAAATTGTAACCTTGAAACGATGTGGGATATTAATTAAAATTAAATATCAAAGTATTAAATAATAAAAAGTAGGTAGGTAAAAGGTATTATTGTATGAAACTACTAAAGGGACCTCCAAATAAATTAATTTTCATTACAAATATTAGTTTAAGTTTATGTCTATTTAACTTTCACTTGTTCACTAATTTTCTTAAACATCAGTCAGGTTAGTTTATTATTTTTAAATTATTTTTACATTCATTTATGCTGAAAATATTTCAATCTTGTTGTAGCACTTGTAGGTACGCCTAAATTAATTGTTACCAAAATATTTTAGGTGCTTTGTGTCAAGCCTAGGTTCACAAACTGCCATATTTAATCACACGAATTGTAAAATATATATAAAAAATTGTCAAGATCAATGAAAAAAGAAAAATTTAATACAATTTATTTACATAATATTATACATTAATATAATATTTTTATACTGCTTAAATTAACCGAGAATATTAATTTTTTAAATAATTCATCGTATTTATTTGGAGAAGTTATAAAGTGCTTAAAATAAATGTATTCAATTAAGATTGGTACTTTCTTATATCAATCACTTAAATAGGTATTGTTTGAACTTCCCGCCGCTTCCAGCGCAACATTCGGCAACCGGTCCGYGAGACAGCGCGTCGCGCGGCCCGCGGACACCGGGCTTCGGCCAAGTCGCCGCCGGCGACTAAAACTTGTCTTTTTCGTACGCTCGACTTGAGCGGACCGTGCGTGTATCGCGTCCGGCCGTTATTCGGTGCCGTTTTGCGACAACCTCGTGGGTGCGACT